AAAAAAAAAAAAAAAAAAATGAAGAAGGCTGGGCTAGGTGGCTCAAGCCTGTAATCCCAGCACTTTGGGAGGCCGAGGCAGGCAGATCACCTGAGGTCGGGAGTTTGAGACCAGTCTGACCAACATAGTGAAACCCCATCTCTACTAAAAAAAACCCAAAAATTAGCTGGGCGTGGTGGCGTGAGCCTATAATCCCAGCTGCTCAGGAGGCTGAGGCAGGAGAATCACTTGAACCGGGGAGGCGAAGGTTGCAGTGAGCCGAGATCGTGCTACTGCACTTCAGCCTTGGCTACAGAGGGAGACTCCAGCCAGAAGAATGAGGAGGAGGAGGCGGAAGAGGAGGAGGAAGAGGAGGGGGAGGAAGAAGAAGGAGGAGGAGAAGGAAGAAGAAGAAACAAATCCTGATACATACTACAAGGTGAAACTCGATGACATTATGCTAAAGGAAATAAGCCTGTCAGAAAAGGACAAATACTTAATGATGCCATTTACATGAGATTCCCACAGACAAATTCACCGATTCAGAAAGTGGAATGGAAATTGCAAAAGACCCTGAGGGAACAGGTGCACGGGGAGTGGTGTAACGAGACAGACTTTCGGTTTTGCAAGATGAAAACAATTCTGGAAATTGGTTTCACAGTGTGAATGTACTTAACAGTACTGAAGAGAACACATGAAATGGATGGGAGGCAAAGAAAACATTTGGCTTAAATGCAAAAGTCCTGGCAGAGACAAGGCAGACTGAAGCTAGGCCAGCTCAACCACGCCTCTTCCTGCTCAGCTGTCACTCAGCGACAAAAGGGCGGGGCCACGTCGCGCATGAGTATTGCGGACGTCGCCATTCTTGGCCCTTGGCGAAACGGCGTCTCACCTGCTCCTGAGGGCTGTCGGTGGCTTTGCTGCATCCATTGTCGCGCCGTGGCCTGTAGGTACTGACATCAGTAGGGAGGACACCGGGACTTCCCGAACGCTGGGAAATGGTGAGTGTGCGGGGCCTGTGTCCGAGGGAAGGTTTCTGGTTGGAACCGTCTGTGGCCGAGGCCGGGGACCTCCTTGCAGTCAGCTCCAGGGTCTGCAGACCCTGGAGCCGCCGCGGGCGCAGATCGGCCTCGGTTCTCTCCGAGGGGGCTGGACCGGCAGCCGGGATCCCCAGCGTCCTGTCCCGGCCCCTCGCCGCGACCTCGGCCCCCGGCCCTGGAGCCCCTCACTGGACAGCTCCGCGCCCAAAGCCCCGCGTCTCCCCGGATTGTTCGGTGACGGCGGGAGGGTCTTGGGGAGATCCCATCTCGGTCTGTGCGTTTTGTGCGTTTAAGAATCCGCTTGGCTGGAAACCTCACGATGAATCCACGGGCACGTTTCCTCACTTGTGAGAACCGAAGCCTGGGGAGGTCCCAGGGTTTCCTCACTTGTGGGAACCGAAGCCTGCCAGGGTCAGGAGGACAAGAGGAGCTCCCAGAGGTTCCTGTGGCTGCTCAGACGCCCCTGCCCTCATCACCAGGGACTGTCCCCATCACCAGGGACTGTCCCCCTCTAGTGCTCCCAGCACTCAAGCCTGCGAGTGTTTTCGACCTTCTGAATGTGGGCTTTCTTTTTGAACTGCGGGGAAGGGGACTCCTTATCCTAACTGATCAGAAAGTTTGAGTTTCTTCCCTTTGGACTCCTTGATCAAATATTAATTCTAGCCACCCTTAATTTTAGTTTCTCTTCGCTCTGGGTAATTTTGCTCCCTTGTGTGAATGTGTACGATTTTTAGTTTCTTTGGTTTATGGATGGAGTTTATTGTGAGCTTGTTCAGGTTCTTTTTTTTTTTTTTTTTTGAGATGGAGTTTCGCTCATGTT